CCACACACACCAGTCACAGCTCACAGCTTCACCACACACACCAGTCACAGCTCACAGCTTCACCACACACACCAGTCACAGCTCACAGCTTCACCACACACACCAGTCACAGCTCACAGTTTCACCACACACGCCAGTCACAGCTCACAGCTTCACCACACACGCCAGTCACAGCTCACAGTTTCACCATACACGCTCCTAGTCGTCGTCGTCGTCGTCGTCGTCGTCGTCGTCGTCGTCGTCGCCGCGGCAGCGCTGGGGTGACCGAGAGCACAGCCTCCGATCAATCGCCTCAAAATGGCGTCTTTTTTCTTCTTCTTCTTCTTCTTCTTCCTCTTCTTCTTCTGCTTCTTCTTTTTCTTCTTCTTCTTCTTCTTTTTCTTCTCCTTCTTCTGCAGGAACTCTCGCAGACAACTCTTTAGCACGTTCGGTTACCGAACTATTGTTAATATCTATCACGTCGATAATAATAAGAATGTTAATAATAATAATAATAATAATAATAATGTTTCATCATCACAGCAGACGGTGTACAGCACTCTTCGCACCCGTGACGAATCAGCCAGCGTCACCAGCTCGTGACGGAGACAGGAGATGATGTGTGCGACACCAGCATGTGTATGAGGAGGAGAAGCCGCCGACGTGCGTACGGACGGGACGCTACCGCTAATAGTGGGCTGTATGCTCGCCGGCAGCTGGTTGGTTCCCGGCTACTGCTGCGAACCCTCCCTCCACACAGCTGCCCCGCGAGGGCAGGCCAATGCGAGAGCATGCAGCATCGCCATGGCAACTTCACGTCCGCAGCATCAACGTTTTATGTTTTTATAAAGCGTCCCGGAGACTGAAGCATCCCTGACTGAATCGCACAGCATCCCTACTGTAGTGACGTAGATATCGAATTAATTAACCTAGTATAAAAACAGGCGACACGCGTGACCATGTGATGTGTGAGCCGCCGTGATGAATTCCACAGCATCCCGATGCTGGCATGCAGCTTCATAGGCACATCTAACGTACGGGGGTCAGGGCACGGGTCCGCAGCATCAGTATCAAGGTGTTGGGAAGTGTGCTAGCGCTAAAGCTCGATTAGGATGTCAACAAACGCTTGACATCTTAATATATATGCATATATATATATATATATATATAAATATACATATATACCACAATATAGCACATTTTACTTAATTCTATGAAATGCGGATCATACCCCATCACGCCCCTCCTTCTAGACTTGGATAAACAAAGCTTCAGCTTTCACTATTACAGCAGAATACACAGTATAGTATTTGACTGTTACCCTATATTCGTGTGAGTCTATCTTCTTCCCTTTCCGTCTTATCATCCTAGCACTGTGTCTCTCCACGCATCAACCCTATATAGGTACATGTGTTTACGCTTCTTACTCCCTTACGTAGTTCTAATACAGCTTAACTGTATAATATTGGTTTCCGCCACTTCCCATCGTCTAACAATAACACGTATCTGTTCACACGAACTTACAACGTGTCCATTATAAACCACTTACTGTCCTGACGGTCACTTTCATCCGCGCGCGTAAAACCCACCAGCCGCTCCTGTGGAGTGTTAACACGTGAATTAACTATAGGCGTTTTTATTTAAGCAACTCGGATCAAATCGCTTTACACTGTGTAGCCATCACGTGATGCAATTCGAATTGCCTTCAATAAATTATCATTGTAACAATGGCGGACCCGGTAGTTCTCCGTGAGAATTAAGATAAGAAAAATACTGATAAGTTTTGTTATTGAAGAGTGTTTTAGTGTACCAAGAATATTCCAAAGATCAGACGATATTTATGGGTTGTGATAAGTAAAACGAAACGAATCATATCAACTTGCCTCGCTAAAGATGTGTGCGCCGCCATGTTTGATAATCGCCTCAAAGCGTCCCCTGGACCAGTTGGTCGAGTATGATACGCGCGTTGTAATAATCGGCTAAACAAATGCAACGATTTGGTAAATCGTTGTAGGCGAGTTGGTTAAATAAATGGAAAGTTTGATTCCCTCATACCAGAGTTGTTTAAATAAAAACGCCTTAACCCTCCATCACAACACGCGCCTGATGATTCGCCGTGATGAGCAGGAACAGGCCGATCTGTTGTAAAAACTTAAAACAATTAACTTAAAACCTACACAAAAATTAGCCCGAAAACAGTAAAATGAAAATATACAAATGAAAAACTATTTCAAAACAAACTTAAAAGTGCGTTTTAACGCGATGCGCGCAGATGGACTCTTGTTTCAATAATATTGATGTCACGTGGCTGTTGTTTAGCAAGCTTAGGATGAGGAGGGGTTCGTCTGTTGATGTCGACTTCAAACTGTTTGTAGCAGGGATAGGGTTATCGATAGTGTTATCGATAGTGTTATCAATAGGGTTATCGATAGGGTTATCGATAGTGTTATCGATAGGGTTATCGACATGGTTATTGAATTTCCTATCGGGGAGTCGACTGCCGAACTTAGAAGCAAGTGCATCCATCCATCCATCCATCCATCCATCCATCCATCCATCCATCCATCCATCCATCCATCCATCCATCCATCCATCCATCCATCCATCCATCCATCCAT